TGCTGCTGCTGTTGCTGTTGTTGCTGCTGCTGCTGCTGCTGTTGCTGTTGTTGCTGCTGCTGCTGTCATTCAGCCACAGAAACCAAACAGCGGCTGAACGCCTCCTCGTTGCCCTGGAACCGGCCTGCGGTTCGGCCTCCTGTCCGTCCCGGGGACTAACGTCCAGCGTCTCCGTCTCTTTGCAGGAGCAACTCTTCCTGGTGGATTTCACTTCCTGCATGTGACCAAACCCAGTCCCAGCCTCCAGACCAGCCGTCGTTTCCAGTTGGTGAGTTCCTGTCAGACCCGGTTAGTTCACTTTTCCTGAACCGGCTGCTTCTTCATTCATTAGCTGCCACAGAGGAGATCTACCTGACCAGCACCAGCTCAGGGCTTTAAAAGCGCTCTGTGATTAGTCTGTGATTCATAATCCAATCCTGTAGAATCAAATTTACCCTGACATCAACTCAAGTGAAATTAGAAAGTTGATGTCCAAAAGTATTTACTATAAATGTTACTTCAGAACGTCTGAGCAGAGCCTTCTTGTTGGTTCTCATCCTGTTCTGCTTCGTTTAGTCGGCATCAGCATTTAGCATGTTATCTTTAGCTAAACAGCTATATGATTGTGGCAGTAGCGGAACAATTCAGCGTCGGACCGGGGGGCAGGGCCAATTACCGGGCCCCTAACCAATCACCGGGCCCCTAACCAATCACCGGGCCCCTTACGGGGGGGGGTGTTTAACATTAAATACACCCTTCTCAACAGGCGATATTTCAATGACTTGAAACTATTCCTCCCTCCATGGCACCTCCAGGCCCGGGCCCCCATCCGGCCCGGTTTGGGGAGCAGCAGCCCACCTAGCCCCCCCTATAGCTCCGCGCCTGGATTGTGGTAACTTTCGAACTAGCAGTGCTAACTGCTGTACACATATCTACATACTTCCTGCTAATATTAATGGTTTCTGATTATGTTAGCCAAGTTAAACTAGTTACTTCCAGAACCCAAAACAGGTCAGTGGTTTGGTCCAGTAGAACCACAGTACAGGAAGTGGTTGTACAGGTTCGGCCATCTTTAGCTGATTTCTCCTGACTCTGTTGGGTCAGGGGTTTCCTGCTGGTTCCGTTGCCATGGAAACGAACCAGAACCAGGCATGTTTTCCTCCGTGTGGCGCCGCAGGATGAAGTGATCGTGACGGGAGCAGCGCAGAGCGGGGACTACTTCCGGCTCCAGCTGAGCGCCCTGCAGCTGGTGGAGAGCCTCACCTGTCTGTGCCTGAAGCCCCTCCCAGTGGGGAACTACCTGACCCTGTTCGGCCGGCACCAGGAGCTGCTGGGCCAGCTGCTGGACCGGTACCGCCTGGGCCTGGTGCCCGACCTCTACAGGTGGGACTGGAACCAACCCTGTTCTGGTTCTGGTCAAAGCGAGCCTGGTTCTGACCCGTCTCCTCCTGTTCTGGTGTTTTTCTAGTTTCTTCACACAGAGGGGCTGTCTGCCCATTTTCCACGACCGCTTCCCAGACCTCCACCAGAGGGCGCTGCAGCTGCTGACCCACCGACTCAAGGTGGTCAGCTCCTTGCTGAGGATGATGATGGAGGCCTTCATCTTCCTCCTCCTCCTCGGTTTGGTAGAGAAGGAAAAGTAACTTCCTGTAGAAACCAGTGTTTCCTCCTCTGCAGCGCGGCGGGGACCTGGAGTCCCTCAGCCTCCATCGGCCAATCAGGATGGACCCAGAGACCCGGGCCGCTCTGAGGAACCGAGCGCTGGCCTTCCTGGTGGACAACCAGAACCTGCTGCCCATGTTCTACATCCCGGAGCGACCCGCACCCTTTGGACACTCTGGGCACTCCCCGGGACACTACGGACACTTCAGACACAGCGACCACTCCGGACCATCTGAACCGTCCGGACCTTCGGCTCAGATCTGACCTTCCTGGTTTCACTGGAACTATTCTCACCTAAAGGCTCAATAAAAAGCTGTGACCTTTGACCTTTTGTCTTGTGGTATTTACGCTCTACGCTTTTAAAGGACGTAGAAACCTTTGAAACCCAGAGAACCAACAAAGACGCCGTGATGTAAAGAACGTCGATCCACCAACACAAAACACAGAAGAAGAAAACCTGGAGAGCCCAGGATCAATAAAACATGTTTGACCCCTGAATGACCTCAGACTCAGCTGGAACATCTGGATGCAGCCTGAGATGATCCAGATGTTCCTCAGAACCAACAGAATTAAGTTCTGATAGGTCCAGTTCTGGCAGAACCCGGTCTGAGCCTCAGCATCTTTCCTCAGCAGAGAGGAGTGTGTGTGTGTGTGTGTGTGTGTGTGTGTGTGTGTGTGTGTGTGTGTGCAGCTGTATGCTAATGCCCCCCACACCCCAAGCATATGTCCGACCGGTCCAGGCTGCCGGTACAAACATGGAGTCCTGCTGCGAACGGCCCGGTTCTGCTTGGTCCTTCTTATCCTGTTAACATCTAGTTCAGCAGAACCGGAACCAGGTTCGGTATGAAACACGATCAGAACCAGCGGAAACACCAAACCAGGAGTACTTTCTGTTGGACCTCAGGCAGAACCACCGGCCGGAGTTCTGACCCGGTTCCGATCCGGTTTGATTTGCTCCTATAATCTGCTCTGCCCAGTTGGGGCACTTCCTTTCAATCAGCGGACAGGCGCCGCCATTATGATGCAAAGCGGACCGGACCGAACCGGCCCGGACTCTGCTCATTAATTATGGATGTGACGGAGTTAAGGCACGGGCCGGCGGTTCGGTTCGGTTCGGATCTGAGCGGAAAGAGAATTAAATCTGAGCCTAATTTGATTTTATTTGAAGATTAAAAAAAGACAATTAAATTTCTGTAAAAGTCCAAACCGACCCGGACCAGGACACGCTAGGATTTCTATAGAAAGTCATCAGACCGTGAAAGCAGGAGGCTGCTGGCTGAGGAGGAAGTGTGTGTGTGTGTGTGTGCGTGTGTGTGTGTGTGTGAGAGAGAGAGAAACACAATAAACCCCTCAGGTACATCTGCTCCCCTCCTCCCCCCGGGGGGAGCGGAGCGGCTCCTGATTGGTGGAGGCGCAGGCCGGCGCGGTGTCATCCTGTGGTCTTAAAGCGGAGTGTTGTTGTTGTTGTGAGAGGAGACTGGATCAGAACCACGCGGTGGATGTTCGGCTTTACGCGCGGCTCAGCGTCGATTTGTTTCGACCCCCGCTGTGCCTCCCCGTCCGGACCGAACATGCCCAGAGGCTTCCTGGTGAAGCGGAGCCGGAAGCCTGTCCCGGCGTCCTACCGGGTCCGCTCCGGGGAGGAGGACGCGCAGGGAGCCGCCGCCGATGCGCCGCCGCCGCAGCAGCGTTTCTCCATCCCGAACCGCGCGCAGACCTGCGGGGCGGCGGCCGCTGCTCCGGAACCGGACCCCACCGCCAAGCTGGTGCAGTTCGGGAACCCGGAGACAGTGTACCGGGTTCTGTGCAGCCCGACCCGGCCCATCAGCCAAGACCATGAGGGCTCCCCGGAGCGATGCTGTAGCCTCGGATCCCCGGCCTCAGCGGAGTCCTTCCCCGCACTGGAGCACCTGTTCGGTCCGGCGGACCTGAAGGCCAGCGCGGCGGCCGCCGGGGCGCTCCTTGCCGCGTGCGCCAAGCAGCCGAGGGGCGACGCAGAGCGCCGGGGCAAAGGTGCCAGCTCCAAGAGGACCAAAGCCATCCGGAAGCTGCACTTTGAGGATGACGTCACCACGTCCCCGGTCCTGGGGCTCAAGATCAAAGAGGCTCCGGTGGAGCCGAGGCCGGCGGCGAGAGAGCGCCCCCCGCCTGGGGGGCTGGTGTGCCAGCTGTGCCGGGAAGCCTACCCGGACCCGTTCTCCCTGGCGCAGCACCGCTGCTCCAGGATCGTCCGGGTCGAGTACCGCTGCCCCGACTGCGACAAGGTGTTCAGCTGCCCGGCCAACCTGGCCTCCCACCGCCGCTGGCACAAACCCAAGCCGCACTTCGAGCAGCCCGCGCCCGCCAAGGACAGCAGCGACCGGGATTCCTCCAGCCCCGAACCGTCAGAGTCCGGTTCCGAGGACGGGCTGTACGACTGCCCGCGGTGCGGGAAGCGCTTCAAGCGCCAAGCGTACCTGCGGAAGCACCTGACGGCTCACCGCGGTCCGCGCAACCCCGCCGAGCTGCGGCCGCTCAACTCGAGCCCGTGCCCCAGCCACGCGTGTCCGGTGTGCGGGGAGCGCTTCAGCAGCAGCGGGGGCAGGGAGCGCCACCTGCGGCTGCTGCACTCCGCCCAGGTGTTCCCCTGCCAGCACTGCCCCGCCCTGCTACACAGCTCGCCGGGACTCACCCGACACGTCAACAAGTGCCACCCGCCCGAGAACCGCCAAGTGATCCTGCTGCAGGTGCCGCTGCGCCCCGCCTGCTGAGGCTCCGGGTCCGGTCCGGTCCGCTGCGGATGGGACCACACCGGAAGTGATCTCAGAACATTTTCCCAGTTTGTCCTGGAAGTTTCTGCCTTGCAGGACACTTCATCTCAGTCAGAGGGGGTCCAGAAGATTTAGAACCTGTAGAATCTAAAGTGCTATTAGCTGTAGACCTAAGAGAGGTCCGGTCCGGTTCGGTCCGCTCCGGTTCTGTTCCCGTCACTGAGTAGCTATAATAGATCCGTGGATCATAGAGTAGCCGCGCTGCCTGCTGGGAAACCGCCTTAAATCATATTATTGTTATTTATTTATGACTGTATATCTATTATCACTATTATTAAGTTATTGCTGTGATTTCTGGTGCGTTCAAGTGTCTTTTACACAATTTGTGATTTTATGACCCGCTTCTGCAATCATCATCATCATCATCATCATGATCATCATCATCATGATCATCATGATCATGATCATCATCATGATCATGATCATGATGATGATCATGATCATCATCATGATCATCATCATCATCATCATCATCATGATCATCATCATCATCATGATGATCATGATGACCATCATGATCATGATGATGATGATCATCATCATCATCATCATGATCATGATCATGATGATCATCATGATCATCATCATCATCATGATGATGATCATGATGATGATGATGATGATGATGATCATGATGATGATGATCATGATGATGATCATGATGATGATGATGATGATGATGATCATGATGATGATCATGATCATCATCATGATCATGATC